CCCCCCCCCCCCCTTCTTTCTCTCTTTAACCTTCAATAAATTGAAGATAAGAGCAAATAACGTCTTTGCAGTTTGGGTGTATATAACTACACAGCCTCCATATAGATTTGTGGATCATTCTGAGAAAGAATTTTAAAGTTGACTAATGGTATTTAAATTTAAAATTTTGACCTCAATTAGTTACTTGATTAATTATAATTTTTGGATTGATTGTATGTTCTATCAAATATTAAAACTTGCTCTTCATATTTGCGGAAAAAAATTTTGTACACCACTTGTCAAGTGTAAATAATAAATGCAAGAAATAATATAAGGAGATGGAAAGACACAAATAATTTATAGTGGTTCGGTCAACTCAACCTATGGCCACTCTTGAATGACTCTAACTGTCGGGTATTTTATTAATTTAATGGTGTGGAGAGCAGAGAATACAAGTTTTGAGGGAGAGGAGAGAGTCGTACTCTGGGAAAGTGTGATGCTCGGGTAATAAGTGTGGTCTCTCTCCAAGTGTTGGTGGGGCGTATAATTTATAGTGGTCCCCTAACAGGTTGGAGCTATTTTACAACAACTAAACAACTATTTCAGTAGAGTTTCACGACTTCTTCTCAATGGGTGAGGTAGTTAAGAGGCTCTCCATGAGACGCGGTCAAGGATAAGGTGAGGGTGGACTGTTTCCTTGGCGGTGCAGGTAAGGCTCTTGTACTTTCTCTCTCTTGATGACGCAGCCGAATTGATGAGACTGGACTTGGACAATATTGAACTTGGTGGGTTTTTATAAGATTGAGCTCTTCAATTGAGACTTGGGTTTTCCAAATAAATTGGGTTTTTATTGGGCTTGCCCCATTCTTGGGCTTAACCCATCATTTGCCCCACAATGCCTCTTATGTCTAAGAAAAACTTGGAGAGGGAGACATTGACTCTTCATTTGTATATTTTTGACTTTGGTACAAACTCCAAGCCTTTCCCACTTTTGCTTGAATTTTGAAGAGGGCCCATAATTTTCAATTTGGGCTTTTTCCTCTTTTAAAAACCCTAGACTATAAATATAGTCTTCTTCTTCATTCTACCCATTTCGCTCAGCTTGAAATTGGAAACCATTCTTGAAAATCTTAAGAGCCCAAGTTTTTTCCATTTCTCTTGCCTTGAGATTGAGCATCCATTCTTGAGAACTTTGAAAACTCAAGTCCTACCCATTTTGTTGAAACTTTGAGAGGGAAAAGTGTATTTTTTCTTGAATCCTTCCAAGAGTGGGATTTCTTCATTTCTAGTGGAGTTTTCAAGTGGACAATGTCAATTGAAGAGGGAGTGGTGGAGATCGAAGAAAGGGAGGAGGTAGACACCATTTTAGGCGCTGGTTTAGGAAGCTTGGAGGCTGGTTTGGACCATTCGGGTGCTGTCCTGGACAACTTTAGTGCCGAAAATGGTGGGCTGGACAGCCTGGGTGCGAAAATGGTGGGTTGGACAGCTCAATTTCGCAAACCAGTCAGCTGGACAGCACTTTCGCGCGAATCAGCGCGTAGGGAGGTAGTCTGGGCAGCACCGATAGACTGGGAAATGCGCAAGGAGGTGGACTAGGCAGTGTAGGCAGACTGGGCAGTGCGCAGGATGGTCTGGACAGCGCGCCTGATGAACTGGACAGCGTAAGCGCGCGATTGGGCAGCGCGCGTGTGACGCCTAGTGGGCTGGGCAGCGCTGTGCAGGCTGGAAAAAAGGCTGTCCAGGCCAGCAGGAGCGCAGCAAGGGAGCTGGGCGACAGCCTGGGCACGGGGACATATCAGGGTGCCTTTTTTGGTGCTGACTCAGGCATTTTTAGAGCTGTTTTGCGCAACTTTGGAGCGCCAGGCAGTGCTGGACAGTCCTGTTTTGGCGAGCAGAGGCAGCCAGGCACCCATCTAGGCTTTGGGTTGTCTCATTTGGGAGAGCATAGAGCGTCAGACACCCCCTCCAGGAGTTGGGATAAGCATTGCAGGCGACGAGGGAGCTTTGGGTGCCGCTTTTGGTCATCACGATATGACTCCTTCAAATGTGACTTCTCAAATCCAAACCTCTCAAGTGGATGACTTGGGCCACTCCTTGCAGCCTCGAAAGAAGAAGTGAAAAAATAAATTGGGACTTGATGACGATGGGTCTAAGGTGAGTACCCTTTCCAGTCTGTTCCGTTTAGATGAAGATATCTCGAGGCTTGTTTTTACCTATCGCATTCCTCCGACCGTGTTGTGCCATCGGGCTGAGTTGGGCGAGCTTGCTTGCGATGACTCTTCTGGTGATATTGTTGTTTACGAGGAGATGCTTGAGGCTGGGTTAAGATTCCCCATGTCCTCTCCCATTTGTCACGTTTTGCACTACTTTTCCTTGAATCCGGGGTAATTAGCGCCCAATGGTTGGAGAGTTTTGCTAGGCTTTCTTGCATTGTGGAGAAAAGTGCACAATGAGGATGTTTCTCCTATGGAGTTCCATGCAGAATACAATTTGAGCGAAACCCCTACACCAAATAGGGGGTGGTATTACTTTACCACAAGAAGTGGTACAGTGCTCACGGGAACGCGCTCTAATTGTGGCTGCTAGAAATCTTGTTCCTTCTTTGTTGGTGGAGAGTGGGCTATAAAAGCCGACACTGCTTTGGTGCCAACACATTGAGGTTCTGCTAGAAAACCCGGTACGCTGCACATTTTATATATATATACATGTGTGCTCACCANCTTGATTAATTATAATTTTTGGATTGATTGTATGTTCTATCAAATATTAAAACTTGTTCTTCATATTTGCGGAAAAAAATTTTGTACACCACTTGTCAAGTATAAATAATAAATGCAAGAAATAATATAAGGAGATGGAAAGACACAAGTAATTTATAGTGGTTCGGTCAACTCAACCTACGACCACTCTTGAATGACTTTAGCTGTCGGGTATTTTATTTATTTAAGGGTGTGGAGAGCAGAGAATACAACTTTTGAGGGAGAGGAGAGAGTCGTACTTTGGGAAAGTGTGATGCTCGGGTAATAAGTGTGGTCTCTCCCAAGTGTTGGTGGGGCGTATAATTTATAGTGGTCCCCTAACAGGTTGGAGCTATTTTACAACAACTAAGCAACTATTTCAGTAGAGCTTCACGACTTCTTCTCAATAGGTGAGGTGGTTAAGAGGCTCTCCATGAGACGCGGTCAAGGATAAGGTGAGGGTGGATTTGTTTCCTTGGCGGTGCAGGTAAGGCTTTTGTACTCTNCTAGTTTCCTCTTTTAATTCTCTTCTTCCCTCGGTATTTTTCATTTACCTGACACTTCTCTGCTCTTGCAGCAAGTAAGAGGGTGGTGGTGTCCTATTTCTCTAGTAGGAGCCCTCCCTATTCCAAAGTGGGAAGGACGGATGATGCCCCCCCAAGTGACTCCCACGGTGGTTCCTCCTCAGTTGGTGACTTCTCTAGTTGTTACTCCAAAATCTTCCTTGTCGGGCACATCGGCTCCACCTTCATCCCCTCCTCGTGCTGCCCCTCCTTTGTCCCCTCCTCATGTAAGAACTTCTACCCGAGTGCCGATTTGGGCTGGTCCTATGACGGGGAGACTGTCAGCCATCAGGGCAAGGCTTGGGAGGTTTGT